GGGCTGTAGCGGTGGGGCAGGCGCGCGTGCGGCAGTGAATTACGCGCGCGGCAGCGCAGCGCAATGTAGGCATGCGATAGGGCAGAGCAGGACGTGCGCGACAGCGAAGCGCCGGATAGGGCAGTACGCAGTGCAACTAACGGTGGGCCCGGAAAAAAAAGACGGTCCTACGGACCTAACTGCTCTGAAACCATGTCGAGAATGAACGAACAGGAATGACTGAATGAAGCAGAAACAAAGTACAAGTACTAACCCTAACAGGGTTGTACCCACTACAACCTACACAGCTAAAACATATATATATGTTTTGACATCTACTTCCTGCACACGGGCAAATTTACGCCACTGTGCAGGAATGCCAACACATCCTGACTGGACGCGCAGCCAATGAGGTCTTCGCGAGTCAAACGAAGCGAAAATGAGATTTGACTCGCTGAAAAAAAAAAACTGTTACCGTTTTAAATAGATTTAAAAAAAAAAAAATTGTACGTGCGCTTATAATAAGTAAGGGCTTTCTAGGGGGGGCGCTTATAATTGAGGACGACCATAAGCGCATGGCTCCAGATAGAAGCGCCGGCGCTTTTAATAGGACGTCGCTACTATCCGGGGTGATACGGTAACGTTGCCACCACCTTGCATAGGCGAAGGACAGTTATGAACATGGCGCATGCACTAATGAGGGAGAGTTATACTCACTACATCTGTCAGAGATCCTATTGAGCTACAGTCCCAACACCCGTCAGATATGTGCGCTAACATGTCCGTAAATGATGAACTTTAGCTTGTCCTTCCTATCATAGCCAGCTACAAACACCTTACAAGTATTGTTGCGGGTGTAAACCATGCATCCCTAAACCACCACAAACACATGGGCCGCCTAGATGGCAACAAGTTATCAAACACCGCCCTTACGCAGGCCATCCGCCCACTTGTTCAACAGCCACACCCGTGGTCGATCGAACGACTGGACGACATGCACAACGCGACGAAGGTTAGCAATAGGAATGACCACGCAGGCATCCGGAGTCTCTAGCTCCTCGAGCTTCACACACCCAGTGAGCTGGTCAACGCCAGCCTCCTCCCGAGGCTTGATGTATGCCACCGCATGCAGCTGCGCCCCATGTCGATCCATGGTCCTGCGGGCTCGCTTGAGAAGGCACAACTGCCCGTAGAGGGCCTCGCTCTTCCTGGCTCCATACTCCACAAAGGAGAAGGCAAGGGAACCGTGATGGGTCGGAGCTGCGCGCGCATACTTGGCCGATGGCTCACCTGTGCGGATATCCTTTGTCGGCAACGCGACAGCCCGATGAACCTGTTGTCCATACACAAGCACGCAAGAAGTGAGGTGTGGGGTGTGAGGGTTATGCAAACGTTAGCAGCAGGGTAGTGGCAGGGTCTTACGAAAAGGGAGGCATTGGAGAGGGGAACAGAGGGTGACCCCAAATGGTTCTGGTAGTTGATTTATACGTGGCCCGGGAGTGAGGGTTGAGGGATGTGGATTGGCACGTGGGGGTTGCTGTGCTCCAGTGACCGCCACCCTCTGCCTTCAAGACTTTCCTTCATCAGCCCACACCATCCTCAACCCGCACCCCTCTTTGTTCGCACCTACCCCCATGCATCGATCACTGTCCCAACGCATCTCTGTCCTCACCTCTGTCTCTCCGCGCCTATCTCTGTCCCCGCCACCTATTCCTTTCAGCACCCCCCTTAAACAACACCTACCTCTCCAAGCATATCTGACTCAGCAACTCCCAGGTTCCGCACCCCTCACTGTCTGCACCTCTCACCGTCCGCACCCCTCATTGTCCGCCCCTCACACTGTCCACACCTCTCGCGATCCGCACCTGAGTCTCGTCGCTCTTGTAACCTGCCTGCCGCATAACACTGCGGTACGCACGGAGACTCCCTCCAATGGCTTCACTGTACTGTTGGAGCAGGATTCCCGCAGTTGTACTAGCATGGGCAGCATCACGCATCGTGGATGAAGTGTTGGTCAACGCTGGGCTGCCAGAGGTCCGAGCCTGTCCACAATCCGGCGGACAGAACAGCATGGGTGAACCATGTGATATGGTAGGATGGGGGGGTAGGTACAGAAGCCTGTTAGCATACTTACATATATGCAAATCCAGTAGGGGCACCATCTATCAACGGAAGGAAAGGCATTTGCACTTCAGAAAGAGTGTGCATACCCGTTTGGCAGCCGTCATGTACTCTCGTGGCCGTTCAGAAACAGCCGGAGGTAGCGAGAGCAATGACGCTTGCGTTGCATTCCCGTGCAAGATGGCAGTGTTGTAGTCGCGCTTGTTGGAGCTCCTGAACGGCTTCTTGCATGCCCGGACGTGTGCGCTCCCATACGTGGCAGTGGAGTACTCACGGGGGTGCCCACCACGCCGAATAGCCTCCGGTAGGTGGTTCAAGGCATGGATCTTGATAAGATTCCAGCCTTCTCCATCCCGCGGGAAATGCATCACAAAAAACCTTGGTTTTTGAAGGGGGTTCGGAGGGGGGTACAGTTCAGGTGTTTTGGTTGGCGAAGTTCCGAAACTAAATCGCGACCAATCACGGGATGAAATCGGACCGCGTTTTTTTGTCGGAGTCGAAATCGAATCCGCGACTCCGGTACATTGTCGTTATTTGGAGCGTGCCAAATTTGGGATCCATTTGTAATTGGTTTTCTTAGTTATGACTTATGTAAATTGTGAATGCTGGAAAACTAAGCTGGCCATTTTATTACAAGATAAATGCATCACATCTGATACTTATTAAGGAGATAGGTACTGTTCAGATGGAATGCCTTCACCACATGGACGTGGCGGAGCAGCGCTTCAATCGGAATCACGGAGTACGCGTACATTCCTGTCGTCCACTTGAGGCGAAGACATCCGGTTGCAGCATCCTCTCCGCTGCCATTCCAATATCTAATGTAAGCCAGCTCCTCCCTCTCTCCACGTATTTTTGTATGGAACAACAGAAGCAACCTTGTATACCACTCCTCTCTCCGACCATACCTTACACCCTCCACTGCAACATCCGAGTACCATGGCCTCTCAAAATAGTCAGGGGTCACTTGAACGAAGTGAGAAACTCTTGAGAAGCTGGCGTCGTCTGCTGCAGGGATTGCCAGCGATGCATGGGCCTGCATAACAGTTGATGTTAGTCATATATAATACAAGCCAGCCAAATGACGATTGATTGCATAAATTATCAACTACCGTACTTACTCGAACCTTGGTGACGCATCCTGCGTAACGTATAAGCGCATCCTTGAGGGCAGCTTGGGCACCAGGGTGTTGCTTGGTTCACTTCCTTGCAAACCAGTTGGTGGAGGTGGGTTCTTCTGGTAACTCCACAGTGAGGAAGTATGACTCCTTGATAAGAGTCCGTGTGTCGGTCTCAATTGCCTGCCAACATATGCTATTGATATTATTACATTCTGCATTCATATCCATGCCATTCAAGCACTAAACAGATTTACCTGCCGCATGGCGGTGTCCCGGCCAGCAGGATCATCCACCGGCACCACATCCGGAATGCGTCTAGCATGGAACTTCATAATCTGCCCATCTACATTGCGCTTGTTGGACCGACGGTAAATCCTCTTTACCAACAATTTTTGAAATGCCAACAATTGAAAATGAACAAAACCGGTATGTAGATTGGAATAAAATGGTCCTGAATTTGCACCAAAACGGGTTGCGGCCGAAAGCCACCCTGAAAGGCTCACGTGCCAAATCGGAACTTGTTCCGAGCCAAACATTGTCGCGAGATGTGTCTCGGAGCTCCTATCAAATGACTCCAACCGTCGGTGCAAATTCGATCCGGCTTTTTTTATGCGAACTCAATCGAAATACAAATTCGTAAAAAATTGGCATAGGGTTTTTGTGATGTGGGTTGCAAGAGACGTACTAGGCTGCAGAAAAATCATCAAACGCACACACGACATTACAAGGTTGCATACCGGACTGCAACTTGACCTCGACAGGCCTTTGAGACATAACAGTTGGGGTTCTACTGGAATCAGCGCGGGGATTCACACGAGAGAGGAGACACTAGCACTTACTTAGCGGTGTCGCTGTCCAACTTCTCAAGAGACTCCTTGGTGTAGAACTCCGCGCGTATGTGCTCTTGGTGCCAGTTTGCAAAGAACACCAGGGCCTGGAGTCTAGCTGGTGAGGTCTTGCCTTCAAGAATGAATGGCAGGATCTGTGGTTGTGTGAAAAGGGACACGGAACAAACATTAAAGATCATTGGTGGTGCCGATCGGCTGTGATGTGTGGTTCGGCACATGCCTTTCATGCATACAGTGAAGCGATGCATGGGGACAGAGAGGGTCTGTCACACAGTGGCCTGGGGTGGGTGGGACCTTCACGTTGTCCTCACGACTCCTTACAGTTAGCATGGCAGCATGTTCGGCAGAGGAGTAGTAACAATTCCTTGAGAAATACAGGCCAGACGGTACAGGCAGGCCTGCCTATGTGGTGTCGTCAAGCATATCCAAGAGTCGACTGTGCATGCAACAACAATAGCAAGGTGTGTTCGGGTTTGGGGAGTAGCAGGGAGGGATGAGATGAGGCAAGACGCAAGAAGGGTTGAAATGAGGCAATGAGCTAGAAGGGGTGAAATGAGGCAAGGAGCAGGAAGGATGAGATGAGGCAAGGAGCAGGAAGGGGTGAAATGAGGCAATAGGTAGGAGGGAGGGATGAGATGAGGGAATCAACAGGACGGAGGGATGAGATAATGCAAGGAACAGCAGGGAAGGATGAGATGAGGCAAGGAGCAGGAAGGTTGAAAAGAGGCAAGGAGCTGGAAGGGGTGAAATGGGGCAAGGAGCATGAAGGGTTGAAATGAGACGGTAGGCAGGAGGGAGGGATGAGATGAGGGAATCAACAGGTGGGAGGGATGAGATAATCCAAGGAACAGCGGGGAAGGATGAGATGAGGCAAGGGGCAAGAAGGTTGAAACGAGGCAAGGAGATGGAAGGGTTGAAATGAGACAGTAGGCTAGAGGGAGGGATGAGATGAGGGAATCAACAGGAGGGAGGGATGAGATAATGCAAGGAACAGCAGGGAAGGATGAGATGAGGAAAGGAGCAGGAAGGTTGAAATGAGGCAAGGAGCTGGAAGGGTTGACATGAGGCAAGGAGCAGGAAGGGTTGAAATGAGACAGTAGGCAGGACGGAGGGATGGGATGAGGGGATCAACACGAGGGAAGGATGAGATAATGCAAGGAACAGCAGGGAAGGATGAGAGAGGCAAGGGGCAGGAAGGTTGAAATGAGGCAAGGAGCTGGAAGGGTTGAAATGAGACAGTAGGCCGGAGGGAGGGATGAGATGAGGGAATCAACAGGAGGGAGGGATGAGATGAGGCAAGGAGCAGGAAGGGTGAAATGAGGTGACTTCCCGATACACTTGGGCGTTTTGGGGCAAGGAGCAGGAAGGGTTGAGAGGGGGCAATGAGCAGGGGGGAGGGATGAGATGAGGCAAGGGTATGGGTCATATCCATAGTTACACAAAGGCCCTCTAAACGTCACTCCAAAATCAGCGTACTTACTCGTCAAGCTCGAGCGCTTCGCAACCCTTCAGGACATGAACCAGTCTGGCCAAAACTCCACCATATAGTACATGCAGCAGGTCCGGCATTTGGGCCTGGTATGTGTTTCCCCAGTCTGTCCGCGCATGGTTGAACATCCACAAGAATGTCTGCCAGGGAATGAAAGTTGGAAGAGGACGTGAATGTTGCAGTGAATTTACATTTTATGGAACACTAGGCCCTAGACATAAGATGGTATAAGCCAGCCTTGCGCATCCGCCTCAGCATGGTAGTATATGGGCCAGGCTAACCCATACCGAATACCGTAGTAGTATACGGGCCAGGCTGATCCATGTGATTACCATGGTAGTATATGGGCCAGGCTGATCCATACCGAATACCATGGTAGTATATGGGCCAGGCTGACCCATACGCAATTACCATGGTATTCATGGTAACTAGGGCTTGCGAAGCACACATTGCTTGTCCCTCATTGGAACCTAAGCAGAAACCGAGGTGCTTACCTCAATAGGGTGCGTAGAGTATTCTTTGAGCTCTGTCGGTTTGCCCATAATCCTTCGTTGCTAATCCACCGTACGCGGCTTGTTCAGACCGTCCTGGATCACCCACAGGAAGTCCTTGTCCACATATCAGACGGAACAAGGCTTATCCGAGCCTAGCTGCACCGTGCAACTTACTTTGGACATCTCGGGATAATCACCGATGTAAGCAAACAGCATGGTGAATGCTGTTTGGACATCTCCAAATGGGTCTATGAGCGGGAAACCCTTGCATCAGACGGGTGAGATGAGGCAATGAGCAGCAGGGAGGGGTGAAATGAGGCAATGAGCAGCAGGGAGGGGTGAAATGAGGCAATGAGCAGCAGGGAGGGGTGAAATGAGGCAATGAGCAGCAGGGAAGGGTGAAATGAGGCAATGAGCAGCAGGGAGGGGTGAGATGAGGCAATGAGCGGAAATGAGGGATCACATGAGGTAAGGAGTAGCATGGAGGGCAGTGATGGAGCACGCACATCTCTTGCGCCTTGAACACCTCATCCAGAATGACCTGCATAGCCTTCTAAAACAGCTGCACCTTCTGCACACGCGTCATCTTTTGGTTGGGCATCGCAAGCAGGGCGATTAACACCCTGCCGGTCTCACGCCACCGAAGGGAGTAGGGGATGTTTGCAACCGACAGATACACGGGCCAGACTCTGATGCGCCCATGTCCACTAAGTGTCGCGACATCCGATGCCAGAATGATGGGGTAGATGACCTCCCCGTTCTTCAATAAACTCTGTAGGGGAGGGTGTTACGGCACAAGGTTAGTCCCTATACCTAGAGTACGGGCAGTGAAATGTGCATATTCACAGCCTCTGTCTCTGTCCTACACAAAACAGATGGGTTTCGATGGGTGAGCCATAGTCCTGCATGAATAGGGTGGCCAAGGGGGGGGGGGAGGGGCATACTCGCTGTCATGCTAAAACAAGAAGGGAAGGGGGATGTGTGTCTCTGTCCTGCGAAAATCACAACGGCTGGGGCTGGGTGCGTCTCCGTCATGCAAGAATCAGAGGGGAAAGGGGAGATGAGTCTCCGTAATGGCCGAAGCAGAAGGCATGTGGGAGGTGAGATGCTGACTGGCTAAGGTTAGAAGGGAAGGGGGATGTGTGTCTCAGTGAAGGAGGAAGCTTAATAGCTTTCCTGCTAAAATTGCAAAGGAATAGGCAGATGTACCTGCGCCATGCGCCACATGGTTCCCGTCTTGGGATCTGTGTACTTGTGGCCAGGGCCGACCTCGACTCCGTCCACATGACAGAGCACGAATCCAGGCTTGTTGTCCGGATGTCCCCAAAGCTCTTGGATAGCCTGCAGTGGAGAATGCACCTGCGTAGAGCTAAGACATTGCTAGGCTGCATGCGGGAGAGAGGGATCGGTAGTGGGCCTTAGGAGGGGCAGCGGCGGAAGCTGCAGCCAGAACGATGGGCGTAGGCAGCAAGCTTGCGCACGCGCGCGCAGTAGGTGGGATGCATCAACGTTCGGCACACTTTATGCATACTCATCGTAAAGGGCTGGTCAGTGTGGAGACATTGGTAGTGTGTGTGGTGTTGCTTGATGTTACAGTCACGCAAATGCGTGGTAATGTGCGGCACTAAGGGGAGGAGCAGGAGGAAAAGTATAGAGGGAGGGAGGATGGTAGCCACAGTCTCACATACCTCGATACTGCGCGTGTGCTGCACCACAAATAGCTCTGCCCAATCTGGGACAAAAATAAAAGTCCTCTTGTACTTCCGCCGTCCGAGTAATAGCCTCAGCCCGTATTTTTCCAGCGCCCGCTTAGAGTGCCAGTGTCGTATCGCTGACTGCATGAACCCATGCAAATTCAGAATCTTCAGCAACAGCGCCGTGTCCTTCGCTGAGAGCCCGCGACCATTGTTCGCACTCATCACAAACCGCCAAATCGCGTACATGGTGTCTAACAGGACGCCGTTGCGGCCTTGGTCCCGTGTCGGATCCCCCAAGTCGACGGATTCAGCACTGTCCCCTTCAAATCCGCCCCGTGCGCTCGTCGACGCCGTGTTTCCTGAAGCCGTGGCTCCTTTATTGTCCGATGGGCCGGCGACGGCAGAATCCGGTTCCGCTGTATCGTGGCTGCTATGCTGTGGGCGCATGTGCACGTTAGCGCCTACAGTTGATGGTGGGGCTGAGTCCACTACCAAATCGGGCTAGTAGTAACGCCCGCATGGCTCGCCGGCATCAATAGATCGCTGGCGCTCTTCCAAACACGCATGGTCTGTGCGTTGATGCCCTTCCTGCTTTGACCTGTCTGAAAAGTAGTCTCCGCACCACTCGCACCTCCAACGCACCTCTTGCATGTTTATACGGCTTCCACGTATTCGGCGGTATTGAACGAATGTAATTCTAGGAATGCGAAGCTAATAGGATGAGTGCTGGCCGTCTCTGCGTCACGTTTTTCTACCCTCGCCCAAAACTGAGTAAGCGGAAACCGTAGACGACATTGTAAGCTGAACGCACTTAATCCCCCACAGCCGGCTGAGCGCTCGCACGAAAGGCAATGCCGATTTAGCGCCGTATGTGGTTCACCAAAGCCGTTGTGGATTAATTGGGATGGAAGCACTGTCATGCAAGCTTGATGCTTGCCCATAACACCAATACTAGGGATCCGGTTACGTCGGGTTCGGTTAGATAGACAGACTTCTCGCAGTTCTCGGGTTGCGAAGCGTATTCCACGGAACATCGTGATACGATAGCTATTTTAAGTCCTTGATCGTCGGGATAGGAATACCTAGTCGCGCGGAATGCTTGATTACTTGTTCCACCACGTCTGTCTCCAATAAGGGGTGCTATGCGATGATATCAGATTCTGTGCGGTGCGTATAATGTAGGGCGTGGTTAAAGCCTAAGACCTGAATTGCTCAACGCAAATCAACGCGGGGCAAAACTATGGGCTGCGGGAGGCAAACAGTGCATACTGTGCCTTCTTTTTTGTAATTCGGGTATTGGGCTTTAACGTGGTTTTACAATTATACAGAAGCTTGGCCAGAGGTTCTCAATCTGCAAAGTACCCAAGGATGATGAATTCGCCACAAAGAACCCGCTAGTCGTGTGTGTCTAGATGGTTTTTATTAAAGAAAGGTTTGGAAATTCAGTAGTGTTTGAGCGGGTGTTTAAGGCGACAATCACTTTCGTTTATAAAAACGGATTCTCGCGGTGTGCGGACATACGTGAATGCACCTGCGCTGGGGTCCCATCACACCGCCAGATGTGGTAACACATCACATTTTGCGAGTCGCATTTTGATGTGGGATCGTTGCACGCTACGCTACGGAGGCGCACATCACATTTGGCAAATGTGTCAAGCAGCTCGTTTGCATTCCACAGCACAGCAAGCTTGCTCTGTCGTGCAGAGCACTGGACCCCTAACTCCTCTCAAGCATATCAATTTTCCGTCATCATGGCTACTTCCAATCAACAACACTACCCCGGGAAATGCTCCATCGACTTCCTACTCAAGAGTCAGCCCGTGGTCTGTCTGGCAGCTATGCAACTCACATATGTCGAGTGGGTTTTACTGGATGACTTCCCCGTGTGAGAAACCGACGCCCATGGGTTTGATGAACGGCATTAGGCACCTGGCTTATAACGAAAGCTGCAGCGCAGCGCACAATCGCCGGAAGGCCATCATCGAATACCGCGCTTCTTGACGGATGAGCGCGAAATCTCAGCTGTCATGGTTTGACATGATGCTGATAAACGCCACCTTTCGCGGCGATGGTGATAGTAAGGCGTTTCGCCCTGAGTGTGGCAGGTTCATCGAGGCCACAGTGGACCACACCAAGATTAATCCCTTGGCACAATGGTGGGATGAGCTTCACCGTCCTTGCCGCAAGTTGGATTACCGCAAGTGGCTCATGGCTTGGGCACACGGAAGGGGATTCGTGGTACGTGCGTAGTAGCTTGATCAATTTGCCTCTATCGCTACAACACGCGCCCGCCTGACTGAATCGTCTTGGCTCACGCGGGTCGAAGGAGGACCTTATGACCGGATTGATTCTCCCGACGTCATGGTCGTCTTTGGGAAGAACGGCCATCCGCTGCCTGAGGCTTTGATTATGTCCGACAAAAAGGGATGGGTTGGTGGCGACGTTGACGGCATCTCCGTCGGCAACTTAGCACATGCTCCTGGCATGCTTTCTGTCTATGAGAAACTCAAGGCGGCAGGCTGTGAGCTTCGACGCGTTGACAAGGACGGTCGAGAATGGCGTCAGGTTGATCGTGCCGTCCGTGTCGAGACGATTCCCCGTCTAAAAAGGCAGAACTACATCCCGCTAAGATACTACTCTGCGGGATTTCCTGATGAGCCTGAGAAGACTACAGGTGCGGCTCCGAAAAAGGGTCGTAAGGCTGCAACAGCCCCTGCATCGGCTGACAACAACACGGCGCCAGCCTAGGTCTAACCCATGACAGCGTGTTGTGGTGCACGAGATGTGGACAGTAACATGAGAAAAGAGTCATATCTACTAGGTGTTCGAATAGTTGATCAAGTAGCTTGTTATTTATTGCAACTTCTTGTATGTGGGATTATTAGTTGTGTCTCTGGTGTCAGAGATGACATGGTCGTACCCTAGGGTAGATATAAAAATACAGGGAAAAAAAGGGGGGTGTCTTCTCATAGGAAAAAGCTACATAATACCTGGGTGCATATATATGGTATATTTTAGTGTAAGAATAATTATTGTTAGAAAAGTTGAGTGTTTCCATGGGCGTTTCAACATAACATGCTGAGGCGCGAATGGGAGTTTCGACGCGAACGTCATCACCCCCTCAAAAATCCCATGTGGCACCTGTCTGGCCACTTGCAGTGGAAGATTCGCCAGCGCATGGCGATAGCGAAATGGTGAGCGGGGGGGAATCTCGGCAGATTCAAAGTGAAAGAACCTCGAAATTTCATCGAGGGAGGGATTTTCGCGATATCATCCCATACTTGCACCTACTCGTAAACAAATGTAATAAAGTATCAGTAAGAGAAGGGGGGTGTTATAAAAAAATAAATAAAAAGGGGGGTATAGTAGAAACGAGGTCGCCCATAGCACCCACCCCGCACAAGCTACCCGGGGGTGCTCAATCATGGGGGGGTGTTTTGTCCGGGAGAATACGGTATGTTGCTCATCCAAATAGCCACCGACACACGGTTTCGGGCGCTATTGCCCAACAGAACGTCACAAATCGAGCGTCGCATTACCTCTGAAATCGCATCAATGTCGTCCAGACGTGTGTCGCCACAGCCTCCCGCACTCACGTATGTCCCTCTGCGCGTACATCTCGGACACATGTCATACCAAAATCCGCATATCCCATCAGTCCGACACGTGGCATTCAAATAGCGCGTGGCGTGATCTACGTAATCACGGCCTGATAAGTCAAAATCTTCTGTTATGTTGTCGCGCCGCGATTCAGGGTGTGAATCACCCCGTAGACGTGGCACGTGGCACGAGAATTACGTAACCCATCACTCTGCAGCCGCACCTGCCAAGGTTTGAAATCATCAGAAGGCTCAGTTGAGTCTCATTCTTCCAGGCTTATCAAGTACGTTTCGACGACTTTGATTCCGTCCTAGGAATGGAGACGAAGTGGGCAGAATCGGATGGTTATGACAAGGAGGCCTCAGACGACTATGGCCACCGTTGTTCGCCTCGCTGGAATAGTGGCTATCACGGCCGTTACGAGCGCAATGAGTACGAGATGGGTGGCGGCGTCTACCCCATGCTGCAGCAAACTGATCGTCGTCCAACCGGCCGTTTGGCTACAGTGCGGCCATCACACGGCCGCCTACGTGGCATGCCGCTTCGTACCAGGGTTCAGAGGCATCCGCGTGGTCACCAGCGCGATCGTGGCATGGAGCGGCAGTGCGATGACGTCGACGAGCATGGTATGCATGAAGTCGTACGCGGCATATAGTGCAGCATTTCGCGCGAGTTGCGTATTTTGAGCATGAAGGCACGTGTAGAGCGTCGTTTCGCATTTCCGCGCGAGTGTCATTTGGCTTCCGGTTTGCTCGAGTGTTTATATAGCACGAGTCGACCTAACGGCCTCTGCTTCGGACCCACCCCGTCGCTGTTTTCCAATTGGTAGGCGTTTCAGCGCGTACGCGCCCAATCGGTGAGGTGGCGGAAGGCGCACCTACCATCCGCGCACCACCCGCATACGCTGGTGGGAGCGGCCCATCCGTACCG